TGTCTATTCTACAAAACATTGTTTGATATTCTCTAACAAAAAAAGACTTAGAAATAAGATAATACTATTTCTAATGAGGTTCAAAACATGTTTTATGATCATGATCATCTTCATCATTAAAATCCTACATTTATTACTGCATCTTTCTAAGGGTTAAAAGAATTCAAACAGAAGAACAGCAGTCAATCGACGGTTTGTAACAGTAAAGAGTCTCGGATTTTTCTAATGGACGATGATTATTGTCAAAAAAATGTGTTTTGATGTTCATTAGAAGTAATATTAGCTCATTTTGTAACCCTTTGATTACTACACTATTCTAAACAGATAAGAATTTCAGCAAAAAAAAAAGATTCAAATGCTCTTATTGATGTTCCTGTTTTAGCATGTTAACGTCCATTCAGAAAACATCGGAACCAACTTTTTTCATCGTAAAAGATATATGAAGACGATTAAAAATGCTATTTACACATCTGGAAAATGTTCTTCTCAATATTTTGACATGTTTTGAAGATAAAAGAAACTTTTAAAATGTTTGTTATATATCAAAAATATTGTGAAAACATGTTTTTGACAGTTCCAGATGTATCTTAAGTATCTTCTATAATTAAAGTAGTTGATTTAAGTTTTTTTTCTAAATGAATATGAAAATACTCAAAAAAAAACAAACAAACAACAACACTAATTATAGAGCATTTAAGAATGTATTGAAAAATTTTTGACATCGTATACTTTTTATTTAGATTACAATTCTTTAAAGATCTTGAAGATTTTCGTGTTCTTTGCTGTGGTGGAGATGGAACAGGTATCTAAAAAAAATGTTCTTCTTTCTTTTTTTTTTTTTTTTTTTGTAAATGAATAAATATTTCATTTCTAGTTGGTTGGGTACTTGATGTTATGGATCGAGTTCCACTTCGTCGACGAGCTCCAGTAGCTGTTTTACCATTAGGTACAGGCAATGATTTAGCACGATGTTTAGCATGGGGTGGTGGTTATGAAAATGAAAGTTTAACTAAAATACTTAAAAAAGTATCACAAGCTCCGGTGATTATGCTTGATCGATGGCAAATTGAATTTAGTACACGTACAGATACAGAAGAAAAAGGTGATGATATTCCATATAATATAATTAATAATTATTTTTCTATTGGTGTTGTAAGTATATATATATAATATTCGAAAAAATAAAAAAAAAAATGTCCATATAAATTTAATTAGGATGCTTCCATTGCTCATCGATTTCATTTAATGCGTGAAAAACATCCTGAAAAATTTAGTAGCAGGTTTATTGATATGAATTTTTTTTTCTTTTATTTTGTAATAAAATTATGTGAATTTTCTTTTTTTTTTGTTCTTGATTTGAAAATTTAGAATGAAAAATAAATTATGGTATTTAGAATTTGGTACTTCAGAAGCATTTTCATCTACATGTAAAAATTTACATGAAGATATTGACATTATGGTAACATTTAAATAAAATCATAGAAAAAAAAAAAAATATTTTTTTGTTTTGTCTAAATTTTTAGTGTGATGGAGTTTCTCTTGATTTATCTAATGGACCATCTTTAGAAGGTATTGCATTATTAAATATTCCAAGTATATATGGTGGTACTTCATTATGGGGTGAAGGTGGTCGACATAAAAAAAGAAAAACACCATTAAATTTTCACCGAAAAGACTCGTATGTGTTTTAAAAACAAAAAAAACCTTATTCGAAATCATTTTTTAAGGGAATATTCCACGAGTTCAACGTCAGATATGACATTTGTTTTACAAGGTAAATATATTTTTTAAAAAGATAGCAATATTTTGAAATTTGATGACGAAGAGTCACGCATGGATTTGCCTCGCAGTCGTTATACAATCAAAATAGCACTATGATTTTGAGAAATTATGAATATTAATAGAATAAGAATAATGGTAAATTAAGAAAAATGAATAATAACAAGAGAATAGAAGCAAAAATAATCTCGATGCACAATGCAGAAATAAATAGAACAAATCATTTCAATGATAATTAATTATCCTTGGTAAATAACTATAATCTGCTAGAGATTTTTCACTGGACATATTTTGCATTAGTATAATGAGGCTGAAGAACACATGTGTATTCCATATTTTAGTATCAGAGTGTCTGCCATCGCCAAGCTTTTAATATTATTGTTCTTAAGTACTCGTCGACTTATCTCTGAAAATGTTGTTTTTGACATATGGAGCACGATATTTTTGTGGTAAAACTTAGAAAAATTCGATTGAAAAAAGCCTATAAAAATTGAAATATGCTAACAACACTGAGTATTGCTAGTCTCAATATTTCTTATTAATTTTACTATAACGATCTGAATTTTTATTGCAAATTATCGTGAAATTTCGATCTCAGGGAAAGCATATTTCAAAGTATTCATCATCAATAATAACGTAAGAATGTAACGACTACAATCTGTTGAAAACTTCTTTTAAGTATTGAATATGCTATTCAATACGAATTTTTTCTGGTGATGCTAAATATGATGTTGGTTTTATTTTCAATAAAACTTCTAATAATCAAAATCTTTGAGTACAAATTTGTAGTTGTGACGTTGTGTTATCATATCGAAAAAAAAAAGATAGATTAACTAGATCATATAAATATTAAGACATAATCATAATAAAAGGAATTTTTGTTTTTCTCTAAAAAAAAAAAAAAAAAGATGTTGGAGATAGATTAATTGAAGTTGTTGGTGTACAGTCAGCTATTCATGCTGGATCTATCTATGCTGGTGTTCGATCAAGTGCAAAACGACTTGGTCAATGTTCATCAGTTGTTATCAGGTATGAATGAATTATGTTTTAAACAAAAAAAAAAAAATTCATACAAATTATTTCTTCTTTTAGAACTCACAAAACTTTCCCGATGCAAATTGATGGTGAACCATGGTTACAACCACCATGTACTATATCAATAACACATAAAAATCAAGTACCTATGTTAATGGCACCACGAAAAGAACGTAAAAATGGTTTATGGCGTTTATTTCGAAAATAATTATTCAAAATCGGGGAAACTGTGATAATCTGATTAGAATAATAAAAACATAAAAAAATACAGTCTATCAAAATAAAACGTTTCTTCCTTTTTTTTTCTTCTTCTTCTTCTCCTCTATTTCTATTTTTTTTTTTTTTGCAACAGTGATGTTTCTAGTCTGATAGATTAAATTCTCCATCACACAAATCTGTGTGAAATTTATAGTCGCAAAGAAGAAAAAAAAAAATTATTTTTTTTTTTGTCTGCACTCGTTAGTTTTTGATGTTCATGTTAATAGTGGTTGTTTATGTGCTTTCTTTCAAAAAACAAAATAACAACAACATATTTCAATTTTTTTCATTGCCTTAAATTGTGTGAATTCATAATTATTTGTTCGTCTATAGTTTATAGATGTGTATATTGTTTGTTTATTATTTTTTTTTCTCAACAATATATATACACATAAAAATAAAAAATCTATTTCATTGCTAATCATTAAAGTTGAAAAATAGAATCGAGAACGAGTTTTTTTTTGTTTTTATTAAGTTAAATATAGGACAGGATGATCTTACTATTCAAAAGGACATCGTAACTTATTCGGTGATCTATGTCAGTTTTACAACAAGTTAATTATAGCATAATAATAGTGAATAAATAAATTATTGATTAAAATTTGAAGGTTGATCTATTTATTGATATTGAATAAGACATATTTGACAGTCAAATGGGAATAGAATAGAATTGAAAGATGATGATGATGATAATAATAATGATTATAAATTTGATCCAAATAAATTGTGTTATGTCTATTAAATTTCTTGCCGAAAAAGAAGATTCTTCGGTCGTCTATTATGTCGAATTTATTTTTATAATTAAAAGAATTTTATTTTTAGTTTTAAAATCCCAGAAATATAATGTTAAATTCAATCTTGTAAAATTTTCAACTCAACTTGCTGAAAATCAAGAGATATTTTTGATAGAAATTAATTTATTAAGAAAAATCTTCTATTGCAGAACAACGAGATAAATATCGAGAAAACTACTGCACTCGATATATTGTGCACTTCGCCGTCGAATTTTTTTAAAATTGATATATCAAAATCGATGAACAGTTTTTAAGTCTGTTAAATTGAGTCGGTTTTAATACATTCTAAGAATCTTGATACGTTCAAACCATCTGTACACTGGTCACTGTGTTCAAATCGACTAAATTTATGAGATAAATTTTTATAAGTACAATATATTTCAAAACTGTTTTCTTCTTGATTAAATTGAATTTGATCAGAAAACATTCTCTAGAATTGTTTATAGTCGGAACCAAAAGCACTATCACAAGTAAATCGTCAGTATTAGTACGACATTTAAACTAGATCGTTGTTATATTATTTTAAGGATGTTATTTTTATGATCGAAAATGAAAAGAAGACTCTCATCTGTCATGCATGATATGTTAACCTTTATCTTTGTATCTTTTGGGCATTAAGTTCTATATATTATAGTAGATTTTCAATTTGAAATATATCAACGATACTTATATGTATCCATTTGGAGATAAAAGATCTGTAGAAGTCATGATTTGCTCGAGGTTTATATTAATCTCAATGGTAGGTACTATTTTTTGTTTTTTATCTCGAGCTATACATCAATTATTTTATCGCCGCGAGAAAAGAATATAGAACATTAAGATTAAATAAAAAATTTGTATTCATACAAGTATAACAAGCATTGTAGCTTTCAAAAGTCCATTTACAGTAGAAACTATTGAATGAACATTTCTCGTTCTAGTTTCATTAAACATAGGACACATGTCACAGAAAGTAGCAAATATTCTTTTGATATGAAAATCTATCCAATGATCTTAAGCTTTTCTCCTACCATCTCTTTCAGATCATCAGAACCTCACAAAGGAGAAAAGTGCAAAACTTCGGTTTAAACTTACATCTGTTAGTTTCTTCAAAACTATAAATGAGTTCCACAAACAAAAAAAAGGTTCATTTCATTAGGTTGGACATCCACGATAAACAGGTGCTGGATCAATAGATATTTTACGTAGATCAAGTAATTGATTTTTTGTTGTTGGTAATATATTTGATTGACTATTTGCTTTAAATAATATAATTAAAATTAATGGCATTGAAATAAGATAAATAAAAAATAAAATTCTATCAACAAATACAGCAAGTTGTTTAATTGATCGTTGTGGATAAAATAAATTATGACGATAATCAACAAAATTTTCTCGTATAAGTAAATTTTTTAATAATTCTCGTATATATTTTATATCATGTAATATTTCAAATGCATTAATATCAATATGTTTTGATAAATATTTTTGATTATTTCGACATTTTTTAAATAATATTTGACGTTTTTTATTTAATTCTATTAATGATTGATGTATAGTAAATAAAAATGTTTTTTTTGATATTTTATTTCTTAAAAAATATTCTTCATAATAATAAATAAATATTGTTAATATATTAAATAGACAAGATAAAAAAACTAATGAAAATATTATATTTGAATATAATGTTAATGTACAAAGTCCACGTTCATTTTTTGGTACATAATCTGATATAAGTTGTAAATAAATAGTTAATGATAATAAAACACTAACTGTAAGTGTTATTTTTTCATTACTATCTGTTGGTAAACAAAATGAAAATAATCCAAGTGATGATATAATAGAAAAAGGAAAAATTATTTTTCCAACATAAAAACGTGAAAGACGTACAAGTTCAATATTTATTTTAATTGTACTAAAATAACGTTCATAATATGGATTATATAAATCAAGTTCTTCAATTGTTGCATGTATTATTTTCCATTCTGTATTTATAAAATTATATAATTGTACTACTTTATATAAACTACGTAATTTTAATTCATTTGAATCATATATTGTTGATTGAAGAAGTATTGTACAATATTGTTTATCAAATGGAAAATTTTGAACATTTATTTCACAATATGATACAAGTTTATCTTGATATGACCATCGAACAATACCACTACATAGAGCTAAAATAGGATATTGATATTTAACTTCTTTTTCTGTTTTGCCTGGTCCATTTATTGCAACAATATCTGGTGTCCATATTTCATTTGCAGTAAAAAATATTGCCGAACGATTTCGTTTACTTAAACATAATTGTTCACTTGTATTCCAAAGTAAACGATCATCACACCATTTTAATTCAAAATTAACATTAAGTGTAATAACCTGTACAACAACAACAACAAAAAATAAAAAAGAACAGCATGAGTAGAGCTTAGTAAATTTATTTCAAATTTTAATTTCAAGAATGAAATACAGAAGATTTCTTGACATAGATTTAAGAATTCTTTTTTAATCGATCTGATGATTTAATGGTTTCAATTTTTTTTCTTTTTTTTGTAATCGCCGAAATCTATCATCTCCGCGAGGTAACATAACAAATTCTATCAAAACTCTTGTATCTTCTCTGATAAACTATTATAATTCATTAATCAAGATTTATTCAATCAAATCAACTCAATTAGAAGATATTATTATCTTCTTCTAACTTAACTTATTATAATATTTCGGTATCATCTAATTGTATTTCTTCTTTATCTTTTTTTCTGTTATATATGATAGAAAATTTTCTATGAAATATAAATAAAATCTTAATAATTTTATACGATTTCTAAATATAACTTGAATAGCTTTCGATAGTTAGATGTGAGTGTAAGACAACCCCCCAATATACATGCTTATTCTCAATATGTATCAAGTATCATTAGTGACAGTATGAGTTATGGAAAATGTATGAAAAAAAGAAAATATAGATCAAATATAGAACACACACTTCTTCATTCAATAGAATAGGGCATCATGACCGTAGTGTTTGAAAATTTAGCTATATTATATACCCTCAAAATAGATATAAAAATTAGAATGTATATTGAATAAATATTTTCTTATATTTACTAACCTGTTGGTGTGGATTAATTCCTTCTATTTCAATAATTCCTAAACCAATAGAAACTATTGTTTGAGTAATATTTTTCATTGATGATCTTATTAATAAATGATTTCGATAACGTTTTGTAATACGTAATCGATTTAATTCAGATGCACTATAATTTTTTGCATAAATCATCATAATCATTATTATTTCTAATTGAAGAATAAAAACATATATCAATTTCATCTTTTTTTTTTTTTTAGTATTTTCTTATCGTTTTTTTTTTCTTCTTCTTAGAATAAGAACATTAGTTGAAGTATTATTACATGAAAGAACAAATGAATATTTCCATAATGTTATTAAAGTAATCAATTCAATAATAATTTTTTATGAAAAGATAATTTTCAAATACAAAAAAAAAAAATAAAAACAATATAAATGAGTTTATTAAATTTATTTTTTTGATTGACATTTTTTTTTCCGGAGTATAGAAAAAAAAAGCTAAATAATACAATTGTTCAATGAGTATGCTTTTTTACCAATATTTCAGCTTTTGGTAATGGTTCTCCATGATGTTCTACATAATAATAATTATGATAATTTTGAATATAAGGTTGTGCTGTTTTCCAAATCTAAAATTATTCAAAACAAAAAAAATTATAGATTTTCATCTATGAATTAATTCATATACTTACAACACCAGATTTAACAATACGTGTAGCTGTTTCAATATCATGAGACATAAATCGATCTTTATCCCAAGTACTTAAATAGAAAAATATATTAAGTAAAAGTTTTAAAATCGATGTTTTTTTTTGCAGCTTTCTTGCTCATAGAAATGAAATGAAGGAGAGAGAAAGATCAAAAGTCAATAGATACATCTTCATTATAACTAAAGATATCAGACATATTAGACTGTTCGAGAATGTTCTAAATACTTCATCGATTTATATTTTTAAGATTTCAAGGATGATGTATTGATTTGTCACAGTTGTCATTATAATGAACATAAAAATTGTAAAATTGAGGGAAAAAATATATCAAAACGCATAGTTCGGAACTTGAGATGTACAACAGGCAAAATTAAATTAATGATTAAAATAATAATAATGTTCAATTAAAAACACCGATTTGGAATAGGAAAATAAACGAGTGAATAGAAACAAGGAAAACAAAAATTAGCATATCAATGAAAAAGAGAAAATAATTTCTATGAAATATACAGAAATAAATAGTACAGATAATTGTCCTGACAGTTGGTTATTCTTGAAAATCTAAAGATTTTTTTATCTAGACATGTTTTATGAAATACGATCTAAAAGGAGCGTTGAAGTCTAGGAATAATAATTCGAACCGTGGATTCTCTGCTTCATTTTTGCATTTGAATTCATGTATCCTTTCAAACTCTTAGAATATGTTAGATTTCAATCGAACTTATGCATCTTCATCTAAATGCAGGCGTATTCATACTGTCACTGTATTAGTCACATCGACTGTTGTTGTTTAATTATTTATTAAAGATATCACCAGAAAAATAGTCATTAGCTAGAAGATTCAATCAGTAGAAAAATATATTTAGCCATTGAATAAAATATATTCTAGCATATTAAAATTAACTTATTACAGATTATATATTAATAATGAAACATGAATAGAATAGAAATCTGTCTGTGATTAACAAGTGCAGTTATATCATGTTTCATATTTTATTCTCATGAGAATTGCACGAACAATTTTTCTATTAGTTATAATAAGATTAAAGAACATCTATGAGTTACATATTATATAGACCCCCGAAGAAATTATACTAACAAACTTATTAGCATATATCATTAAAAAAAAAAAGAAATACATACGCAATTGATTGTCGTACTAAAGTATGAATAGCTTGTAATGGAGAAGTAGATGTTAATGGATATAATAAATCAATAGCTTGACAAGCCATCAATAATTCAATTGCTAGAACTATAAATAAATATAATTTTTTTTTTAATAAATATTAAAGTAATCTTTTTTTTTTTAATAATTTACTAATTTCAACATTATCAATAACTTTCAATGCTTTTCGAGCTGACCATCCACCCATTGAAACATGATCTTCTTGACCAGCACTTGTTGATATACTATCAACTGATGATGGATGACATAAAACTTTATCTTCCGAAACTAAATTTAATTTAAAATAAATAAATGTTTTTTAATTTCAAAAGAAAAACTTCTTGTTTTTACCAAGTGCTGCAGCTGTACAATGTGCAATCATAAAACCAGAATTTAATCCACCTTCAAGTGTTAAAAAAGCTGGTAAACCACTCATACCATGATTAACAAGTCGTTCCATACGACATGCACTTAAACTACCTATTTCATGTACACCAATTGCTAAATAATCCAAAGCCTATAAAAAAAAAACATTTTTACATATTAGAAATATATAAAATAATAATTTTACTTTAGCTGGATATTCTCCATGAAAATTACCACCTGAAACAACTTCATCAGTTTCTGTAAATACAAGTGGATTATCTGTTGCACTATTCATTTCAGTTGTTATAATTTTTTTAACAAATTTTATTGTATCCCATGATATACCATGAATCTATACAATATGAATTATAGAAGAATTTATTTAGATACGAAAAAAAAACAATAATAATAAAACAAACTTGTGGAACACATCGAATTGAATAAGCATCTTGTACTCGACCACAATTAGCATGACTTTCTGATATTGCTGATGGATGTAATGGAGAAGATAATAATGCACGTAATCGTTCTGCAACAAGATTTTGTCCAACATGAGGTCGAGATGCATGAAGATCTGATTTAAACAAAAAAAAATTAAAAATAATCATAAAATTATGAATCTCAATAAAAATTAATTTATATACATATAAACAAAGAGTTATCACTAGAGAGCTGCGGGTCCATATTTTTTTGGACCCGGACCTGGACCCGGGCCCCAGAAAAACTAAATTTTCAGACCCGGACCCGGCTGAGTCTAAGCCCGGACCCGGCCGGGTCTAGACCCGATCCTTTTTTCATCAATATTTGGCACCCTATGTGTACATGAACAGAAAAGGGAACACAATTTTAGCTCTTTATTGGCGACTTTAAAGGTAAAATGAGTGTAAAATTATTTCTGACTGTTTCTTTTTCAATTTTGTTGACTTCAATTGTTATTGTTATATATTTCCATTCATAACTTAATGCAGGCCGGGTCTGACTTTTCTCTTAGGTTTAGACCCGGACCTGGACCTGGGCCCGGGAAAAGCTAAATTTTCAGAGCCGGACCCGGGTCCGGGTCTGGAAGGACCCGCAGCTCTCTAGTTATCACTAATCAATTGTATCAATATAAACTTTGAATACTTAGGACAATATTTTTATATGATATTATCTCTTTTGAAAAACAAAAACGCCGTAATTAGGATAGTCACACATATTTACCCTAGATACTGTATGTCACGTTGAATAATTATGTTAGATTATATGCGATGCATTTATGTTCATTAAATTCTGTCTGTATCATTATTATAAAAAATAAAATGCTAATATAATTTCGAACTGTCAAATAAATAAGAGCTAGGGTTTTCTATAGAGTTTTGTACCCCCCTCCTCCTCATATCTCTCTAAAGGAAGTATTTGAGAATTTTGAATCTATGACAAATTTTATTATATGTCATAAGATTTATCTACTTTGAAACTATAGATAAATTTTAAACAGGAATCATTCTTTGTGTATATCAAAACTAATTTTTATTGAAGTTCAAAATTTATTGAATATTGTTTATTAGAAAATATTTACTTGGATGTAAATGTCGAACTGTACCACGTAATGCTTCTGTACTTAAAGCTGCAATTATATCTGCTTGACGAGCAATTAATATAGCTCGTTCAACAGCTAAATAAATTAAAAGAATTTAATTATAAGAAAAACAAAAAAACAAAAATCAATCTTTACCTTCAGCTCCAAGTGCTGTAATAAATTGTGTTCCATTGATCATTGTTAAACCCTATAAATATAATAATAAAAGATAAAAAAAATTAATTTTTCTTACTTCTTTTGGTTTATATTCAATTAAATCTAAACCATTCTGTGCTAAAACATCATTTGCATTGCCCCAACCTGTTTTTGGTGACCACATACGTCCAACACCCATTAAACCTAATCAAAAATAAATATTTTTTTTTTCAAAAAAAAACATATCATTTTGTTTTTTCTTGTAACTTAAATACCAGCAGCTAAATGTGCTAATGGTGCTAAATCACCAGAAGCTCCTACAGTGCCTTGTGATGGAATTTCAGGAATACAAGATTCTAAATAAAATATTAAATTTATATTTAAAATTAAATATATTATAAATTTTACTATTAAATGCAGTTATAATTTTACGTAATGTATCTTCTGATATGCCTGAATATCCTTTTGCAAGAATATTAATACGTAATGCAAACATCATTCGAGCTCGTTCAATTGTTAATGGTTCACCAACACCAGCACAATGTGAAACAATTAATCGTGTTTGTAAATCACTATATATATATATTTATTTATTGATAATAATATTAATAAATAAATAAAGATTTTACGCAAGTTTTTCATCAGAAATAATTGTTGATGCAAATGAACCAAAACCTGTATTTACACCATAAACAACTATTAAATAAAAATTATTTCGTTAATATTTAAAATAAAATAATTAATTAACCTTTTTTATTAGTAATAATATGATCAACAATTTCTCGTGCTTTATGAATTAAATTCCATGTTTCATCTGGTAACTAATTGAATAGAAAAATTACTATATAAATTTCATATTTGAAATTAAATCCGTAAGTTTATCTTATTAATTTTCATTAACAAGAAAAAAAAAAAACTCTTATTTTTTTTTTAACTCGAATATTGAATTCGATTGTCATTTTAGTAAAATAACTACAACTCATGAACAACATATTATTGAACACGACTCCATCTGAATAAGCAAAATCTTTGAACTATGAATTTATTAAATTTTAAGATTTTTCTCTCAGAATGAATGAAGTTAAATTTAGATCTGATTCTTTGTATATATTTCAATGTAAGATTTACTTCAATTTGATAATCACCAGTACCGAGTCGAACTAAATCACTGCATTTTAAATGATATCCATCGAGTAGAACAACCTATATGAATAATTTCTTATGTTTTTTTTCAAAAAATTTTTATTTATACTTACATGACGTTCTTCATCTCTATATTTAGTAGAAAAAATTTTAAAAAAAAAATGTCAATATTTAGATAAAAAAACAAAACTTACGTTGCTGTACTAAATGAATCATCATCATCATTATCAAATTGTTTAGCTATATCTAGACAAAGACAAAAAAAAACCGAACATTCATTAGTAATAACAAAACTAATATAAATCTTACCAATTTCTATTGATTCATTATCTTTTAATACATATTCAATATGATCATCAAGTGATAATAAACATCGATCATATGAACGTCGAGCCACAAAATAATAAGGTACTGTTTTATCATGATATTTTTCAGTATATATTTTATAAGCTTTTTCACATAACCATTGTATAGTTTCATGACCAGTTTCACATACAATAAGAAATTTTTCTGGTACACTATGAATTGTTACAGGAATACGAAATACCATTTTGTTTTTTTAAAATATTCGTTTAATTTCTGTCAATGATTGATAATAATTTATGAAACTGTAAAATTACGATATACGAAATATCAAAAAAAAACTGTATGACAAATAACTGTACAGCAAGATATATATACATGTATAAGTGCGAGACACACCCTCTCAACCGTATCCAACATGATTTTTCTCGAGGTTATTAATAAGGAAAAATGTTTGATCGTATGACCAATGTTATCAATCAAAAAAAAAAAAAAACAAAGAAATTATTCATTTTTATTTCGCATTATAATTTTACGAAATATTCAAGTAGATCAAGGGTACAACATTTTTGCTCTTATGTTATTGACAATAACAGTCTATGAATCAAATTTGTTTTTTAAGGTTAAACGACTAACTAACGTTCGTAATTGCTTCGTAAACAGTAATAAATGAAAAAGTACGCATGTATGCAATCATGTGCATCTCATATAATACTACGTTTATTTTTTTTCATATGTAATATCGAAATTACTTCAATTCAACTAAAAACTAAATAAATATTAATTAATTAATAATGTAAAAAAAAAGAAAATATAAATTGATAGTTATTATTTTGCATATTTAAATGTATTGGAAACATGTAAAAAGTGATGTATTTGACTGAGAATTTTGTATTCTTTCAGAATATATATTTAGAATTTTTATTATTGAGCTACAAGGAAGTAAATTTTAACAGAATTCAAAAACAATATCTGACGAAGTAAAAATTTTATTTTTTTCGACGGCAAGTTTTCTTTCTACAAATATCGAATAATTTTTGTAAATACATAGTACTTCACGGATGGTAATGATGTAACAATAGAGAGTTTTGGTCAATTTACTAAAAAAATGACAGAGTATCATTCTTCTTACGATAGACTTTATAAGATTCTTCACAGACCGTAGTATTGTCACTATAGACTTGTAATCATATAAAAAATTAATGTCTGATTTTTTTTTGACGAGAGAATCCTATAAACCCTTTCGGAATTCTTCTAGTCTCTCCCAAGTCATACTTGTGAACAGTATATGAGTCCAAAAGCTTTTAATCAGTTATTGAGATTTCCTCATAATTTGATCTCTGATTGAGTGTCATTTTTGGTTGAACACGAAAAGGACACAAATGTTAGCTACTGTATGACATTAAAATGAATTTGATTTTTCAATTTTCAATTTCAACAAATTGTAAATGTTAACATGATCAAACCGATATCGCGTAGGGCGATCACACAAGTGTACAAGCATATTTACTCCTTAGAGAGTACAAACTGATCGCGCGCGATACACGTAGTTTGCTGCCAAGTACAGCTATTAGTATACATGCAGGTGCCATTGACTTACGTTTACAATTTTTTCTGTCGAAATATATTGAACTTCATCATTTATGAATATTTAATGTAAAAATGAGTATACATGAATTTATCTATAATTTTCGAAAAATAAAACGATTGAAAAGTTTAAGATGAATTTTTTAAAAGTATTTCAAAAATCTACAAATATATATTTCAGCTATCATAAATTTATCATACGGAAAACCGTAAAAATACTTTCAAGAAATTTTTTATAGTAAACAAAATATTGATTCTGTATTTAATTACAGGATTTATCATATAATCTAATAGGAATGATCTTGTCATTTCTTTATTCATTCGATAAAGGATGATAGTTTTTGTATGTCTAGAATTTACTGATTTTTCTTTTTTTAGTTTGAATCTTCACATACTTCATATTGACAAGTTTAGAATCTATATTACTGCAGATTTTTGAAATAAAACTCATTAGAATCATTGTGACAAGATCAATTGCTATTACCTATTTTTGTTTTAGTTTCTGAACTCATTAACTTTTTTATTTTTTATTATTAATAATAAAAAAAATGATTTCAAAGATATAAAAATTACGTCGGATTGTGAAAAAATTATAACGGTAAATAAGCATGAAGTGTATTACGTGTAGGTTGATTGGAATCGACAGTCAAATTTGGATATCTTTCACAAACATCTGGAATATAATTAAGAAGATTTTCATGTATATGAGTAGTTTTTGGTGATATTTTGGTATAAACTGGAGTTACAGATTCTGTATGAATATCTTCAGGTGTATTGAAAATTAGATGACGTATATTCATTGAAATTGGTTCACCTACACGAACTTTGTCATTTGAAATATCAATTAAAAACATATCGATCGGTTTAGATGTGGAACATTCCGCCGGATATAATTCATCAGCTATATTATGCTCATATAACTGTTCACTCTTGTTTATTGTCCATGATGATTGAACACGTGTTAACATTCGATGTTCATGATTAGATGTATTATGAACAATGTTCGATACGGATGCTCTTCGAAGAGGATCAGTTCGAATAGTAATACGATTAAAAGCTTCAGCTTCATACGGATTAGAATGATAAGAAGCAATATTATTTTTTCTACTAGAAAATTTATCAAAGCCTGTAGAATGAAGTGGAGAAATTGAATGTCTTTGCATATGATGATGATTATGACAATATGAAGAACCATTTAACATATTCGGCAATATATTTGATGTCTGAGCATAATTATCATGAATAACAGTTATAATTTTACCTCGTTTTTTATGTTTATATGTTGATGATACTAAACCCATCGTATATAACAAAAAAAAAAAAGTAGAAATGTAATCTTAATTCTCTTAATTTTTATATCTAGCTATCGTCTATCGAAAGAGAAAAGGATTGATAATAAATTATTTATTTATTTTTTGTTCACAAAACCACCACCATCACCATCTGTATGTACATAGTACAACAGATTAAAAGTCAGATTCACCTTTAATGCAAGAAAGAAAAGATAAATCTTTGCCATTGCTCTTTCATATACTTATAGATCCAAAAATAAATATTCATACTCTAGATTTTGACAACGACATTCAAGATTAGAACGATTTGAAAGAAGCAAAATCTTTCAAATATATACTTAAATCTAGTGTCCTCTTTCGAAATAATTTTTCTTCTCTATTTTAACATATAGAGGACAGCAAACATTTGACTCAAAAATGATAATTTTATTATTTCGTATGATTATGTATATTTTTCTTCTATTCTATTCAAGAAATATTAATAAGCGCAATAAATATTTTTCTTTTTTCCTTAAATTGAATATTTATAATGTTTGAAGAAGAGTGAGCCATTTGGCTGCTATTATTATTCTTGCTATTAAAGTTTTTGATTCTATCAACTAGTCGATTACTTTTTTTTTTGTTTTTGTTTTGCTCTAATTATGAATAAATTACGAAGTGATCATCGTCATTTACCAACACCAATCAAGTCAAACAAGTAATCGCTATATATATATATGTCTATTATTTTGCTTTGATTTAATTTTTTTTTATACATTATTTTACTTATGATAATTAAATATTTTAGGATAATTCCATCCTCTCATGATGAACATCAAAAAGTTCATATTCGAATTAATGATACAACAGCTGCTAATATTCATAAAGCTGCTGTAACACGTGATTATATTAAACAACCACGATTGAGTAATGAAAAAGCAAAAAAAGAACATAACAAAATAGAACTTATTTATATTTTCTAGCATATAAAACTGTTGTCGGTGTTAATGGTCCATTAGTCATATTAGATAATGTTAAATTTCCTAAATTTGCTGAAATTGTTAATTTAACATTACCAGATGGTAGTATACGTAGTGGACAAATTCTTGAAGTATCAGGATCAAAAGCTGTTGTACAAGTATTTGAAGGAACAGCTGGAATTGATGCTAAATATACAACAGTTGAATTTACGGGTGATATTTTACGTACACCTGTTTCAGAAGATATGCTTGGTAGAATATTTAATGGTTCAGGAAAACCAATTGATCGTGGTCCATCAGTTTTAGCTGAAGATTATTTAGATATTAATGGTATATGATTATTATTTATTATTAATAATTTAAATTTTTTTAAATAGGTGAACCAATTAATCCATTTTCACGTGAATATCCTGAAGAAATGATTCAAACAGGTATATCAGCTATTGATGTTATGAATAGTATTGCTCGTGGTCAAAAAATTCCAATATTTTCAGCAGCTGGTTTACCACATAATGATGTAAAATCTTATGATCTTATTTTTTTTTTTTCTAATGTATCTTTTTCATAAATTAGATTGCTGCACAAATATGTCGTCAAGCTGGTCTTGTTAAACATGCAAAAGATACAATTGATAATGATGATAATTTTGCTATTGTTTTTGCAGCTATGGGTGTATGTATAATAAACAAAATATATTCTATAGAAATATCTTTAACGTATTGTTATGAACATATACTATACTTTTATATGATTATCAGTTGAAGAAATTTCTTCTTATGAATAAATTTGTTTATTTTTTTTTTTAAGGTTAATATGGAAACTGCTCGTTTTTTTAAACAAGATTTTGAAGAGAATGGTTCTATGGAAAATGTTTGTTTATTTTTAAATTTAGCGAATGATCCAACGTAAATATAGAAATAAATTGAAAATAAATATTTTATTTTTTTTTTTTTTGTATCGAAATAGAATTGAACGTATTATAACACCACGTATTGCATTGACTACAGCAGAATTTCTTGCTTATCAATGTGATAAACATGTACTTGTTATTTTAACTGATATGAGTTCATATGCTGAAGCTTTACGAGAAGTTTCAGCTGCTCGTGAAGAAGTACCTGGTCGTCGTGGTTTTCCTGGTTATATGTATACAGATTTAGCAACTATTTATGAACGTGCTGGACGTGTTGCTGGTCGACATGGATCAATAACACAAATTCCTATTTTATCTATGCCTAATGATGGTTATTATTATATTAAAATAATCTTTTTTTTTTCGAAAAAACAATTTTTTTTTGTTTTTTGCTAGATATAACTCATCCAATTCCAGATTTAACAGGTTATATTACTGAAGGACAAATTTATGTTGATCGTCAATTACATAATCGACAAGTAAATAAAATTTTTACAAAAGATTCTAATCAATTAATTTAATTAATTAGATCTATCCACCGATTAATGTTTTACCATCATTATCACGTCTTATGAAATCAGCTATAGGTGAAGGTATGACAAGAAAAGATCATGCTGATGTTTCAAATCAATTAGTATATAAACATAAGAAATTGTCTTCAATGATCTATTTTTTTTTTTTTGTTATTATATAGTATGCTAATTATGCTATTGGAAAAGATATAGCTGCAATGAAAGCTGTTGTTGGTGAAGAAGCTTTATCATCAGATGATTTACTTTATTTAGAATTTTTAAGCAAATTTGAAAAAAATTTTCTTACTCAAGGTATTTCATTTTTTTAAAATATTTATTTTCTATATTATATATATATAGGTGCCTATGAAAATCGTACTATAGTAGATTCCTTAGATGTATGTTGGCAATTACTTCGAACATTTCCACGTGAAATGCTTAAACGTATTCCACATAATATTCTTCAAGAATTTTATCCACGTGATGGAGGAAAAAATTTACAACAAGCAACAACAACAACAGCTGAATAAAGCAATGCTTATTTTTATCTTCTATGCATTTATTTTTTAATGTTTATTTGTTTAGAACTAGTGCAATATTTAAACTATTCATATAATCATTATGAAAAAAACAAAAAAAACATACTGATACTATGACAACATTCTTTTCATATTCCATATTTCTATATGATTTTATTTTATTTTTTTGTTAGCGCATATTCCTTAGATCTTTTTTTTTTCTTTTGATAGTTATATGTAACCTTTATTGTTCTCTTCAATAATTATTTATTGTGTTGTGCGTTAGAGATTATGATAGGAGAAAATAAAAAAAAAAACAATTTATTTTTACCTTAAATTATGCAAAAATTATTATAAAATTCTTCCTACTTTAGATTTCTTATCTTTTCAGTTTATTATAATATAAATAGTCGAGTTTAGTTTTTCATTAGTTAAAGCAAGAAAAAAAAAAAAAAGAAACATTAATTGTTTTTTACTTTTTATCGTATGACCGATCAGAATATAATTAATCTTCGTTCAGCCGACCCGTTCGCCGATGTGACCGGGTCGAGTGCATCAGATAGTGGTGCTGCCGGTGGTGCCAGTGGTCAACGTAGTTCAAATTTAATTCATATTCGTATTCAACAACGAAGTGGAAAAAAAACTTTAACTACAGTTCAAGTATTTTAATCAATAGTTTTTCTTTTTTGTTTTTATTTTAAATTTAATTATTTTTTGTTTTTAGGGTATTGGTGAAGAATTTGATAAAAAACGTTTATTACGTGCATTTAAAAAGAAATTTGCTTGTAATGGTACAGTTGTTGAACATCAAGAATATGGTGAAGTAATTCAACTTCAAGGTGATCAACGAACTAATGTAAGCCAATTTCTTAAAGAAATTGGTATTTGTCAAGCTGAACAGCTTAAAGTTCACGGTTTTTGAAAATAATGATCGTTCATCCAACATAAATTTCTCATTTTCCGAAAAAAAAAAAAACAACAGAACTATATATTTGTGTTCTATTCATTTGATTTTTTTTCTGTTTCTTATGTTTATCTCTGATTTCTTTTTCTCAAAAATATATATGCATGAAAACTTAAAATATTCTTTCTCAAATTTAACTTTTATCTATTCTATTTAATTAGATGAAATGACATCGAAGCAAAGAGAAAGAACATATTCCATGATATGCATATTAAGAATAGTTGAAGATAAATTACGAAAGTATTGTTTTTCTTTTTGATTCAAATTAAAGAAGAATAACCAATTGATACGAGATGAAATTTGATTGAGAAATAAAATTGGAAATATATTAATATTGTTTATTAGTTAGTTCCGTGTGTTTTACTCTTCCTGTTTTGTATACTCATGTCTATAATAGTACTATTGTTTTGAAACTCGACATTATGAAATAGACAGATTATAGTTAGTATTTGAATAATGTTAATTTAACTCAGCAAAATTTAATTGTTATGAATTGATTATTAAAAATATTTGTATTTTTAATACTAATTGAGTTGAAAATGAAATACAAATTTAAAATAAAGGAAATTATCTTTGAATTAGGAAAGAATGAATAAACCGGTTGTCAATTAGATTGTAGCAATTAAAGTTCCATTATTAATAATGAAACTAGTGAAGCATTATTCAAATAAAAAACTTTCTTGTTCATAAATTTCATATTTAGAATTCTTTTGAATAGATCAAAAGAATATACCTTCCGTTATTAATAGTACTAATGAGGAAACATTCCTAGATGTTGTTATAATCTTCAAACCGAGACTTTATGCATCATATTGAACTTAATGAACTATATATAATATTAAAAAGAGTTCGTTCTGAAGAATTGTTTCTAAGGAAATCGAGTATTATTTAGTAAAAGCTGACTGTAGAACTTCACATTTGTAGTGTAAAATCATAGTTTTGAATTTCGATTTGAAATTTAATTTGATTACCTCAAAAACAGATCATAAAACATAAAGTTTATTTATGTTAGACAGAGTTCATTGAGGTACACGAGATGTACCAACAAGAAAAAATTTCCGGATGTCTCCTGTTGATTTCAATTATTGTTTTGCATATAGTTACTACATCATATATGCTAGTAAAAGGACTTGAGTTTCTATTGACAGTTAACAGAATTATTGAATTTATAATATGTCTATTTGCTAGAAGCGATCGAACGATTCCATGTTTTCGTACTAATCGTGTTTTGAATATTATATTCAATCTATCTTGATTTGAATGATATTATATAAAGTAGTTTGATTAAATGTTAAAAGGAACCGAAGTTATTTTAGGATGGCCATTAGAATATAATGTAATATATATATATATTACATTACTTATTTTCAGATAATTTCCAAACAACAACTTGAAGATAAATTTGTTCTATTGATTTTCTAATATATTGAAAATGTCAATTCTACTTTAATGCAAACATTTTTTCTTAGTATATAAAAGACAATTTTACAATTGAATTTTTACACTACTTGTGACCTCTTTTATGCACCTGAAATCATTCGTACAAAATGAGTCATTTCTTGATCAAATAAAAATTTTTTTTCTTGTCAATTCATTTTTTTCGATATCAGTGCAAACATGAGCAACACCATCAAAACTGAATATAACATTAACAATGTCTACAAAACTTTTAACGATGTTCTTGATAGATCTGATATGAAATCGCTTTATCTTCATCAATTTATTATTGCTTTTCGAGAATTGTCAAAGTAAGTATTAATAATATATAATTAATTCTAATATATTCCTATTTTGTTATGTAGATTTTTTGATCATCTTAATGTAGTTTTTTCATTTGTTGCTCATGATCTTGCTGATAAATATCATATTATTGAAAATCTTTGTAAAATTAATCCAATAGATTATCGTACAATACAAACAATGATTGAATATGAAAAATATCGAGATGATAAAATTGGAACAATTGCACTATTACGTTTATTAAGAGCTTTAGAATTTATTTATTCTTTTTTAGAACGTGGTATTATGTCACCAAGTGATTCATCAAAAACAACAAAACAACTTGCTTGGGATATATATAAACAAACTTTACATAAACGACATAATAAAGCTGTTCATTTAACTGTATGGTTAGCAACAGCAACAATACCTAAACGTGAAATATTAAAAGAAAATCTATTACATGGTGAAATTGAGCCTAAAACAGCTGATAAATGTTTTCCATTAATTGAAAATATTTATCGTTCTATTTATAAATTATATGAAGAAAATAATTTACTTGAATTAGTTCATTTGTAATAATATAAAAAAATAATCTCTTGATTTTTTTTTTACTCTATTTATTTGTCAGAACAAAAAAAAACAAAAAGGTAACTTTTTACATGCAGAATTATTTCATGTCTTTTTGTTTTTTTTCTTTTTTTTAATTAATTAATAAAATTATTAACTCTTGCGAAGACCTAATGCAGGTATTAATACGACGAGAATTATAACACCAATTGTAATAGCTACAGAAACAATAACTGTCACTTTCTGAAAATGAAAATAGTTTTTGGTTTTTTTTTACACAAACTATATATTTTAACTTACTCGTCGAGAAATACTACGTGATGTTCGTTCAATAACTGTTATTGCATCTTGTGTAGTTGGACCATCAACGAAAGGTGTATCAGCAGACATCATCATATCACGATCATTTCTAAGCTCCTAAAATATTTTTCTTTTTTGAATGAAAATTATGCACTTTATTTTAAAGAATAAGTATGAATAAAATGATCTATTTTAATATAAATCAATATTGAACGATTCAAGTTTTAATAAGATTAATATGAATGAAAAAATTGCTTGTTTTTCGATGAGTCTAAAATATCCATTTGATAATAATGTATCTCTTATTGAAATTCAGAATTGTAGAATTTCATAAATATAATGTCATTTTTTAAAAAAAATGGCAATAAAATCTTCAAAAGTAAATATTATTTTTAGGGCGAAACATAGTTTGCATTTTTCTCTTAAACAATAATGTTGAGGATTTTTTAGTAGGAAAACAAAACAAACATTTTTTAGTATTTTACATTACTATGACATAATTATAAAGCAAACAGAAAAAAAAAACATCACTGTCAAAAACTAAATTGAATCAAGAATCATTTTACAAAATTAGTTTTTCCTCTATGAAAAATTCATCCATGGTTATCATGATCGTGTAGAGATTGAAATTTTATTCTGTGATTTTTCGCAAGAAAAATTTTCTTTAAAATTTTTTGAATTCAATTTAATGCTTAATGTTGATTTCGAAATTTAATATTTATCTTGCTTTATAATTGTGTCATGGTGATGAAAAACGCTGAAGCTGTTTTTCTTTTTCAAATAATAAGTCATCAGAACCATTATATAACAGAGAGAGAGTGAAATGTAAAACCTGTTTTGCCCGAAAGGTGCTATTTACTTTTGAATATTTTTTTTACCATTTTGTAGAGAATAAAAAGTTGCATGGCATATATACAGCTTGGCTTGAAATTCTTAGATTATGAGTGCTGACAAAAGATAGATTATTATTGAATAGACATGTAGGACTTATCGAAATGCAATTTTTTTTTATTCATGTTAGCCTTGTAAAATTTGAGTCATTCAACATAGATCATTTTGTTTAGCTTTTTAGTATAGAGTTTATAATAAAATTTGAATGATTCGTTTATAAACAATAACGAAAACAAATTTTACAGGATATACTTTGCTGTTTTTCTCATATACTAGTAAAAAAGTGGGGTATAGAATGCTAATATTTAGAAGTCAATAGTGTCCTACATCGATGTACTCAATGCACACACAGAAAAGAAAAAACAATTTTTATAGAGTACCACATCTATTTGATGATCTCATCATTTCTATCGTAATTGTCTTTAACAGCATGCGAAACAGGAAGAAAAGAAGAGTATTTTAGTCCAAGAAACAAGATTGCTAAGTGAACAATTTTCAAAAATAGAAGCATGCATCACACCTAATACGCCTTTCAATAAGTAACACTTTGGATTGTGATGAATTTTTGTTTTAGATATTACAAATATTTTATCCTTTTTTTTTGTTTTCTCTATTTTGTGATATATTGCTTTAGAGTTTTAAATAGGAATAGCAAATGATAATAGAATATTTAGTTTGGATTTTCCTTTTCTAACAGTTTAATTTGATTAATTTAGTATAAAAAAAAATTAATTTTTACATACATTAGCTGTCAAAGTATTGTTCGTACGTTCCAACATTATCCGTTTATTCTGCGTTGTTCGGTCACGTAACTGTGTTCCATTTTCAGCTCGACAGGAAGCATCATCTTCTTTTCCGGTTTAGTTAGAAAGAGAAAAAGAGTGCTTCATGCGTTCTTTCTTCAATTCTTTTCTTTCTTTTTTCATCATCATATATCAGAAAATACTGCTTGATCGGCGAACTGCCAATCATGTCTTTTTTTATTTCCTATTATCAACTTACTGAATTTCTTTTCTTTCTTTCTTTTTTTTTTTTTTTTTACATAACAATCAATGATTGAATAGATCTATAATAATAATTTCTATTTTTTTTCCTTTAATTTTATGCAATAGTAATCGTACTTTCGAAAGATCTGATTACAGATGATTATAAAGATAATGTATCCTGAATTAGAGATATGATATATGCGATTATTTATGCCAAATGAAAATTTTAAAATGAAAGAAAAAAAAACGTTTTCTTTCTTTTATTTTGTTTTTTTATGATTCGTCTATACTATAATTACTGATATTTTACAGTTAGTTGATTTTATTTTTATTTATTTTTTCTTAAACGTTGTCAAACGTTTCTCTATAACTATTGTGTGTGATTGAGATGTTTTGCAGAAAAAAAGAAAGCAAAAATAAGTGAATAAAAGAACGTGCCATTTACTTTATTTCTTTTTCCTTTTTCTTTTTTTTAATGCAAATTATCAATGACATGACTACAGATGACGTGCAATCTAGTTTTATAGACTAATATCTTTAGTTATGTAAAGGTATACTATGGTGTAGATTTCCACTGATCTATTTTTTATATCCTACTAAAATATTGACTTTCATTTAAAAGAAATGAATATTGTTTTTCTTTTTTCGTTGACAACAGAAAATAAAACAAGTAATAAAATTCAAAATATACATGCATTTATTATCATATGTAATTGGATATTTAGTTTCTTTTTCTCTCCTATAGATTATTTTCGTTCTAGTTTCAATGGCATCGTTTTATTGTAAGTAACAACTAGCGTCTTCTATTGATAAAAATATCTACTAAAAAAAAACAATTTATATATAGCATTCATTATCATATTATTATTATTGAGTTTCTTTCAACCAATAAATTCAGAACCAGAAAATTTATTAATATCTACTACAACTTCAAAGTTCAATTTATATGATAATGTAATAACAACAACAACAACAATAAGTAGTATTATAGAAAATAAAACTGATTCAACATCAACTTCAACAAGTACATATTTTAATACTACAACAACAATTTTGATTGTTAATACAAGAATAAATTCATCGAATGTACCTATAAAAATAACTGCACAATCTCCTCCTCTTTTATCAAGTATAACTTCGACAATAGAATCAACTATATCTGATCTTAACAATAATCATTCTAAAAAATGTAAGTTAATTTGAAAATTATTCATTAGAATTTTCAACAAAAAAAAAAAGAAGATACATAGAGAAATATTTTAAAACAAAAAAAAAATCATTGAATATTTTATTCTTGAGAAGTTCTCATTCGTTCTTTCTATAAATAAATATCATACTTGACCTAAATCTCTTTTTTTTTCATGAACAGCATCATCAAGATCAAGATGGTGGTTATTCACTACTCTTATAGTAATTGTAGTGGTTATCATTAGTATTGCTATTATGTATTATCAACGACGACATACACCATATACAAGGTATATATAACATTTCTAATTAACAAATATCAACGAATATATTGCTTATGAGATAAGGATGCTTGAAATAATATCTTTCAGATGCATACAATGGTAAAAATAGTGTCAATACAGGTAGAAATTTACAATAACAAAAAAAAAAAAATTATATCTGTCTAGAATTTAACTAGTATTCATTGCATGCATACATTGTATTCTATGATATTCTTTTTTTTTTTTTTTGTTTCCATAATCTTTACTTTTATTTTTATTTTTTTGCTCTTATTAGATTTTTACGAAATTGGCAACCACATGATGATGATGCAGATAATACTATTCTTCAACTCGAACAACCTGATATAATGAATAGTCAATGGCCACATCAAATATCTTTAGTTTAATAATTTATTTTTTTTTGTTTTTTCTTTTTTATTACTATATTACGATAAATAATTATTCTTGTTATAACAATCCAGATAAATAACATTTTGTTCTATTGATTAAGGTGCTCGAAGACTCCAACCACTTTCTTTTGCACGTTTTTCACGTTCAGTTGTTTTTGTTTCATTCCAAGTATTTAAACGTGGATGTTCACGTTTTTTTGTATCACATTGAAATTGTAATGTATAAGCACGACGTAATTCATTTGAACGATTAGGACCAGTATAATGTAAAGTACGACAATGATGAAATGTTGCACCACCACTTGGAAGAGGACATGAAACAATATTTTTTGTATATTCATTTGGATTATCAACTTCAAGACCATGTATACGTGGATTATTATTTTGAGTATGATGAGATAGTACATCAAATTTAAGATGAGAACCAGGAATAAATTGCATACAACCATTTTCAACTGATACTGGTTGAAGAGCAACCCAAACACCAAGTGATTCATAGGTTAATGTTGGATCCCAATAAGCTTCATCTTGATGCCATGGTGTTGGAAGTGAATTAGATGTTGGGGGTTTTAAAATTGCATGATCCTAATCGAAAAGAAAACAAAGAATTATTGAATATTGAAATATATTTGTTTTGTTGTTTTTTTTTGGTTTTGATTATCATACTCCTTTAAATTCTGTATTTTCACCAAGTAAAGTTTTACTGATTGCATATGCATTTGCATACATTTGAGTACTATATAAATCAAATCCGGTCATATTTTTACCATAGAGTGATGGCCATAAAAGTTGTGGTGCAACAGCTTCTTTATCATCAGTATCTTCAGAAAGTAAATCAAAAAAATTTCCATGTTCACGACCAAGTTTAGCAGAAAACCACTATATCAAAAACAAAAAAAACCAAGAAAAACTATAAGAAAATATTATAATTTGATTATTAATATGGATACTTGATCGTATTGATCACGAATATGAGACACTTCATCATCATCAATTAGATGATCAATACTTAAAAAGCCATTGGTTTTAAAAAAATCAATTTGTTCTTGAGTTAATTTAATTGTTGGTTCTTTAATCGGTTTATCTGTTTTGGGTAGAGTAAAATGAGCATGAGCTTGATGTGGATTGGTGATTGTCTCCATTTAGACTTATTCAAATAATAAAAATATGATAAAAGAAGCATATATAACTTGTATATCTTTTTTGTTTTTTATCTAATTCGTTCTAAGTTGCATTTGCCTTAGTGTCATAAAAAGTCTGTCTAGATAAACGCAATTTCTTTATCTTCTATAACCTTTAAAAAAATAACATTAACGATTTATTTATTCAAAAAAACAAGTTACATATTTGACTTAATGTTTCATTAAAAAAATGCAATATTTATCAATGATACTAGAAAAATCATATACAAGGATAAGAGAACAACCATGGCCATTTCATTAAAAACCTTGAACAAGAAAAATGGTTTAGTAGCGACGTACTTTGGCGACTTTTGTATCGTGGCATACTATTTGATGATTTTTTTCACATAGAAATTCAAATAGGTAAAATACAGAAAGAAAAACAAAAATGATTGATTTTTTTTTGTTTTCTTTATCGAATGTAAAAAGAGAAGATTATCGATCAATTTCTTTTTTTTTGTATCAATTAAACGAGGCCAATGAATCTTTTATTAACAGCACTCAATACAACAACTAGTCCTCCATCGTCTGATACAAATACTCCTCTTTGGATAGGCTATATATCTGTTATAATAGCAGTAATTTTTTTTGGTTCTAATCTTGTTCCAGCTGGAAAATATCCTATAGGTGATGGTTTATCATTTCAATTTTTTATGTGTTGTGGTATTTGGATTGTTGGTCTTATTATTGATTTATTTGTAAAAAGTCCTCAATTTTTTCCATTAGTTTTAATTGGTGGAATATTATGGACAACAGGAAATATTCTAAGTATTTTTGTTATTCGTATTAATGGTTTAGGAATGTCAATGTTAATTTGGTGTACAACAAATATGCTTGTTGGTAAGTGTTTTATTTGATATAAATTTCATTCCTTTTTGTTTTATCTTTTTTTGCATTTATTTCTCTTTTAATTAGGTTGGGCAAGTGGACATTTTGGTTGGTTTGGTTTATTACCAGAAAATGTTGAACAACCAATACTTAATTATATTGGTGTTACAATAGCTTGTTTAAGTGGTATTGCATTTTTAGCAATACGTACAATAAAACAAGAAGAAACTATTCAAAATTTAGAAGAACAACAACCTATTCTTCAATCATTACCAATTGTGACAACATGTAATGATGCAACACCAATTGATACAACAACTATAACTGTTTCATCAACATCATCTAAAAGTTTATATATACGTATTATTGGTTGTCTATTAGCTACTATTGCTGGTATTTTATTTGGTTTTATTTTTATTCCAAGTACTTATATTCAAGATCATCCTAATATATATCAAGCAGCATCAAAAAATGGTCTACATTATGTATTTGCAATGTATTCTGGAATATTTTTTTCATCTATGTTTTACTATCTAGTTTATATTGTTTATAAAGGTAATCGACCATATCTTCATGTTCAAAGTATATTTCCAGCAATCATATCTGGTATTATGTGGGGTATTGCACAAGCTGGTTTTCTTGTTGCAAATAGTGTTTTAAGTCAAGCAATATCATTTCCATTAATTACAATTGGACCTAGTACAATTGCAGTATTTTGGTCAATATTTTATTTTAAAGAAATTTTTGGTCGAAAAAACTATTTGATTATTATTATTGGTACTTTATTTCGAATTATTTCTGCTATACTTATTATATTATCAAAACCAATACCACGTTAAATTTCTGAAAACATTCATATTTTTTTTTTTTGTGTATATTTTTATTTTATGTTGTATGTTTTGTGTATATAACGAATAGAAAAAAAACAACAACAATAATTATAATTGCCATACAAAAAATGGCAAAAAAACAGGCAAAAATGAAAACAATTTCTTTTTCTTTTTTCAATATCAGTTGCCACGTCCTCGACCACCTCGAAATCCACCACCACCACCACCTCGACCACCGCCTCGACCTCGAAATCCACCACCACCACCGCCACCGCCACCACGGCCGCCTCGGGCATTAAAACCACCACCACCACCTCGGCCACCACGTTGGAAACCACCTAAATACAAAAAAAAAGAAATTCAATATGATACATCGGAAATATGAGTAGTTATCCTAAATCATAGTTTTCAATAAAGAGAATATCTGATTCTAGATCAAAAAAAAAGTTTTATAAGGCATAAAAAGTGCGATATTTTTCTTTTAGTCAAATTTAAAATTAGATTTTCTATTCGAAGTCTCCGTTCGATTTCTTATTGTTTTGATCGTGTCTATTACACCGCAGAAAAGCAATTTAACAAATACAATATCATACCTCTACCACCACCTCCACCACGTCCTCCTCGTCCACCACCACCTGTTGGTTTAGATCCTGCTGGTCGTGGTAAAAATCGAGCCAATGGCAATAATTTATTTGGATCAACGAAAAGCTACAAAAAAGAAAAAATTCAATTAAAAAAATTTCCCCAAAAAATGATATATTCAATTCAATTACTTTTTCATTTTTTTTGAATGAACTTGGATTCATATTTTCCAATAATGTTACAGAAAACCACTAAATAGAAAGATGAAAAAAAAAAATTGTTCATAGATTAGATCATGTCACATTTTTATTTTCTTACATATTGTTTCATTGGACCAAGTATTTCATCTACTTTACCAATTTGTTGTTTATTCTGAAGAAAGATACCAGCATTAAAATACGGAATCATATCATTTGTTGCCTTGCATACAAGTTGACTTTCACATGCATGTGAATAGGATCCAATTTCTATTGATCAAAAGAAGTTTTAATAATGAAAAAAAAAATATATATCTTACCAACTACAGAATCAGGTGGACCTTCAGGTTCTCGATTAAATCTACCACCACCTCCTCCACCACGGCCGCCACCACCTCGACCTCGGAAACCTCCACCACCTCCACGACCACGGCCACCGCCACCTCCTCTAGAATCTCCACGTCCTAGATTAATTAAAAAAAGAAAATACATGAACAATATTTCAAAAAATGAATATTATACCTCCTCGGAATGGACCCATTTATGGAATATAAATCAAAGCAAAAAAAGAAACAGACAAATACGAACTGTTGAGAATCTAGAATTGATATCAAAGAAGAATTATTGTCGAAATTCAAATATTTTCCATAAAATATCGATTTAAATATTGATTGGTAATTGTTTGAATGAAAAACAACCAATTTAAAAATAATGTCTCATTATAGAGGGAAGGTCATATTTGAAATAGAGGTCACTATTAACACTAGAACTTAGAGTATATAGTTCATCTATTTTGTATTTCATCATTTGAGTTTCAATATTTCTTTTTCAATATTTTATCTCAAATATGTGGTATGATTTTTGTCTACAATGACGTGAAAATACTGAATCATGATGATCGTTGAAAGACAAAAAATGAAATGTCTTTTTCCGTTCGATTGTCAATAAAAGAAATGTGTAGAAAACAGAGTTATTACAAAATTTTCTGCAAGTTCTTATTTTTCATTCTTTTTTTTTTTCTTACAGATAGTAAATGTTAGGTAGAAAAAATCCGCTCCTTCTGTAAGTGTTTAAGTTACCTTGAATAATATTTTTTTTTTCTTTTGCACTTATCGTCAACCATACGATTAATCATTATAATGCATATTAACTTCCTACACATATTTATTCTTAGTATTTTATCATGACCTGAAGACTTATTTAAACGAATTTTCTTTTATCAATACTTAATTATTGGTAACATATATTTTATTATTAATAATTAAAAAAATATGGAAGATAAAAATTCAAATAAATTATCTGATGATTATCAAGAGAGTACGTGTTCTATACAATGTGATACATTACTTCAACGAAATCAGTCTATTGTTAATGATTATTTTAAATTTTGTTCGACACAATTAGTTTTACCAATACTTAACTTTAATACAAAACAATTACATTTATATGGTTATAGTAAATCAAATACAGAAGCTAGTAAGATATTTGTTTTATTCCTTCTAGAAAAAAATATATAAATAAATGGACTTAAGACTTGTAACATATCATTATTATAAATTAATATTTTTTTTTTACAAAAGTAATTGAAAGCATGTGAAATTCTTTATCATTCTGTACTTTTGTCAATCCTGATTTTCAATTATTTGATGACAATTATTATTAATATATCCACATTCTGACATCTACGCACTCTCAACTACTTTATATGAGTCATACAGCAGCTCATAAAGGGTTATTTAGTAATGAAATAAGATCTATGAATAATTATTCACGTCTCAATCCTAGTCTTAATATATTCTTCAGAGTGTCTTATCTTTAGGGAACTGCGGAACCACGTTTTTTTAATAGCGAACATAAAAAAATTTTTTAAGAAATCTATTACGGTGTTGCACATAAGTGTGCGCCGTGTAATGTGTATTTTTCTGATTTTGTTCTTATAAATCGTCTAAATAGACTATTATTTGTCTATATGTGAATATTATAAACATGTTAAAGTTAATAGATATTTGAAAACATCGATTTTTGTTTCTTTTTTTATGAAAATAATAAAAGTCATCAATCGACTTGAAAAGACAATTGAGTTCTTTTTTTTTATTCAAAATAATTTTTGGACACCAGCTAAAAAATGGTTTCAGTCTCGTCCTGTAATAAATAATTTTTGGTCCCGGGGGACCGGAACCATTTTGTAGTTCCCTACATATCTTAGATGACGTACTGTGCACAGAGATATCATTCGAATTCTGAACAACATATAACCAGAGAATACAATACGTAAGTATATTAATAATATTCGAAATAACCGAATGACATAAAGATTTCATATACTTTCAGTATATATATACTTAATTTGTGTCCTATATAGAAATATGTTTGAGAAAAGGAACCAAAAAAATGTATTTCTTTTTTTTGGGAATCTGACGACGAAGGTACTTTCATTGTGCTTGAATTTTCAATATGTAATTCAAAACATACATACATATATATGTATAGGATTATAGAGAATTCTATACGCTATAAGAATATATAATTACTTTTTGTAAAAAAAATATTAAGTTTAGTTAACTGTTTTTTTTTTCGGAGGGAATAATCTTATGGTAATTATAAGAAAGTGACTAATTAAGTTTTTTTTTTTTTGTTTTAATTTTTCATTGAAAAGAAAAACGATTCTTGGAATTACAAACAGAATTACTTGTTGAAAATACTAAAAAACAAAAAATTGAAAATAATATTTGTTGGTGGTATGAAGCATGGGATGGTACATGGCGATTATATAATACTCAAATAACAAATGAAATTGAAGATTATTATAAATTAAATATATATAATGTAAGAATTTGATTTATAAATAAATATAAGAATTAATTTAATTTTTATTTAGTTTACATTAATCAATGAATTAGGTGAAAATATATCGATTGATATTAATAAAATGGAAGAAATTTATGGTCAACGTATAAAACGTATTCGTCGATCAAAGATTGATGAACAACAACCACCTTATTGGACTCTTACTCCATTAAATTTGTAAATTATATATATATATGATATTTTTTTTAATTTGTTAATTATTTTTATTATTTTAGTGAAAAATTTATACTTGATAATAAATCAGATGAATATATTTCAATTAAAGATAATTTTGATAAAACAATGAGAGGACTTTATGTAAGTTTACAAAATTTTTAAATTTCTTTATATTTAAATATACTTTATATTTTCTCTAGATTATGTTAATATCTATTGAACGTATTCAAAATTTACTTCTATTCAAACAATTTTGTGTATTACATGAAGATTTTATTGATAGATACGGCAAAGAAGATAACGGAACTATGCGTTTTCTATATCACGGTTGTCCTGAATTAGCTTCAAAGAAGATTATGGAAAAAGGTTTTAATCGAAGCTATTGTGGAATCAATGGTAAGATTTGTTTTATATTGAATGATCGAGAAGAAATGGGTATTTTTTTTCATGCGTATATATATTTTTTCTCTTTTTCTACCAAAAACTGCGTCATAAAATTCTTTACATAAATCGTATTAAATTGTTTCTATAACAAAATATGATGGACATCCGAAACTAGATGTAAGACAATTCTTTTATTTAAATGATGACTTAAATCAATTCTTTTAAAAATTTTACTAGAAAGTTCTCATAAGAGGACAAGTCCATTCGAAAATTTTTAGAATCTCAAATCTGAATAAACTCCAATTAACGTTATAACATGATTTCTGTATCTTAGAGCGTCCTAATGACTGAGATCTTGACTATACGTTACGGACTTTGCTGATAATAAAGTAGACATATATGATAGTCTCTAACGTAATACAAAAAAAAATAGTAGTAGCTTGTGACATATCAAAATAATGAACAAAAGCTTTATAAAGCCATAATGTGTTTGCTAAATATATTTGTCACAAGAGAAAAAGTATCTGTGTATTGAACCGATAGAAGGCAAATTTATTCTTGGAATTAGAATCATACATACATCCAAAATATTCTTTCAATATCATAATGAATAGTAGTACTACATGGAGTGGCGGCTACTTTTGTCAAGAACTGCATACATATATATGTCGAAAAAGAAATAAAAATTTTTAATTTTAACTGGATTTTATTCAAGAAGAACTTAAACTTTTAAATATTTCTGAACAAACTTTATTATTCATATATCAAAAATACAAAAATTTAAACTAAATATTTGAGCATGATTTCATTTTTGAAGCAATTTCATTTGGTACCAAACTGTATTTTTGCTGCCTAACAACGACATTTTATTATTGAACAAGTATCATGACAGTTATGCGCATCAATGGGAATAATTAATCCTACACTTACATACGTTTGGCAAGTTTAAATAAATATTATTGTTGATAGTAATGTTGAATCGACACCACACAAGTTACAGTTAGTTAAATTCAATACGTCGAGTACTTGAAATTATGAGAAGATTATACATGTTATTGTACATAATTGATACATATGAATATCATTTGGATTTGATTGAATTGGTATTATTTTACATGGTAATATTTTGAGTATAATATTTATTCTGGTTACTTTTTCGTGTTTATTACATTTGGATCTTCTATCAATTTCACTGGAAGTAAAAGATATTTTTAAGTTTTTGTTCAAGGAAAAAAAATCCAGTTAAAATTGAAATTTCAAGTTATTCCAGATGAAATAAAAATCAAAATTTCTCCTTCGATATACTTTAAGCAAGATGAAAGATCACTACATTTTCGTTGACTTTCCAACGTAAATTTCTAAGTATTACAAAACAACGACTAATAAACCCATTTTATCGTTTTTCGTAATGCTTATAATTTTTTTTGCGGGAAAAGTCGTAAGGAATGCAGCCATCTCTCATTTTGTCCTCTTTAAGATAGTACTATTAAAAACGGATTATTCCAATGCCTTCTTGAACTTGAAAAATGTCATTTTTCATTTCCTAAGACTTTTCTTCTTTATCTCATCTAATGAAAAACATGATGTAGCATGCATCTAATAGAGAATTTCATTAGCTATTCTAATTACTATTTGAATTTGAGATAGATTCGTAGCATATAATAGTAAAAACTTACAAATATTTTACACTTATAATTCTATTCAATATTGTATATTTACAGTTTACATTCATTTATTTTTAAAGGATGTTGTTATGGACAAGGAGTATATTTCTCAAGCAATGCTAGTTATTCAAATACATATGCAAAACCAAATGAAAGACAAGAAAAACGAATATTTTACAGTCGTGTTCTTATTGGTCGAAGTATGAGTAAGTTATAATTTACTCTTTTTCGTTGTTATTAGAAAATCTTAAGGAAAATTTTCTTCATTTTGTTTGTTTTTTTCAGTCGGTCATTCGAGTATACGTGTACCGAAAGGTAATTTAATAAATAGAAAAAAAAGAAAGGATTTATAAATTGTTTTTTGTTCTAGATGGATATGATACAACAACTGATGGTACTCATATCTTTGTATGTTATTATGATAGTCAAGTATGTAGAATTTGATTCAATTAAATTGATAATATACTTTTATCTTTCTTCTTTTTATAGTGTTATCCAGAATATTTGATAACTTATACATGATTTTAATTCAATATTTATTCTTCTATGTATAATTTTGATTATGAATTTATGTTAAAAAAAACAAAAATACACGTCAAAAAGTCTAATAAACAATAATCTTATTGTGTATTTTAGTTTAAACTAATGATAATATTAGAAATATGTTATTTAAATCTGTCTCTTGAATAGATTATGTTTTTGTATATATTATATAAATTAATCACGATAATTTTATATACAAATAATAATAATATCATTATTTTCTTTATTATATGTGATATCGCAAAAACTTTATTTTTTTTTCCTATCAACGATGTAACTATTTGAATATATGAATCATACATGTGTTCTAACATGTTGTCTTATTAATAGTTATTACCAGAATAAAAGTAAAGAAATTTTCAATTATCTTTGAAATAGGAAAATTCTAAATATTCGATGTAAAACTTACTGAAATAATATAAAATATTTCATATATAACAAAAGATCGAAGAATGATACTGATTAAAAGGTTTAATCAAGTGTTGTTGTTTCACTAAAAAAAAGAAAGTGTGAATCGTCGACTAAATCAACCAAAAAAAAACAAAATACAGAATATTAAAGAATTTATTTAGATGCATTACGAATCAATTCTAAAATAGTTTTTCTCTAGATTGACACTAAAAATAAAACAATTTGATAATAATGCAAAAATTCTTCTTCCTACTTTTAACAATAAAAGAAAGAAGATCAAGACACTTTTCAATATCAGAAGATGAAAAGTAGATATATTTTCATAATAGCTATTTTTATTAATATCTAAAATAAAATAACATGAATGATAAATTTCATTTGATTTAGTTGTTAAAAAAAAAAGAAAGAAAGAAGCAATAAACATATAAAGACAAATGAAAAAAGATAAAGAAATAAATGCGATATAGGAATTAGAAAGAAAAACATGAATCGCATATAAAAATTCTATATATATATAATGTAATTATATGAATTTTCTATTTATGAATTTCGTACTTTGCCGGGAATATATTTATCATGATCAATAGTTGTTTCTTGTAGAAAAACATGTAATGAACGTTCATTTTGTGCTAATGGATGACCAGCAACTCTTAAAATAGAATAAAATAACTTTTTTTTTTCCTGTTTTATTTCAGAAATAATTTTAAATTCACTTATTAATAAATTGTTCAAGTCCTTTACGTCGTTCTTCAATAAAATCATCTTCAAAAATACCATCATCACGACGAAGAAATGCAGGTACTTGTCGTTTCCATGCTTTACTTGGCAATGATGGAACAACAATCTATCACAAATATAAATTCATTAAAATCAGAGGCGGCGCGAAGAGGTCAGAACAGGGAAGAGGGGGTACCCAAAAATCGGAGAAAGTAGCCTAAAATTTGTCCGATTATATTTTTCCAAAATCGGAGAAAACTCTTGAATAATCTCTCTAAATTGGGAGAAAATCTGTGCCAGAATTTTCAAAGCAGGGGGTACCCTCCTCGCTCGCGTCGAAGGTCTTCCTAAACTTACTTTACTATCTCGTTCAAGTTCTTTACGTAACCATTCAAAATCTGAATAACGACGACGTACAGAACATTCTTTTAAATGAAATACTGGTAAATTTGTCTATAAAAACAAAAAAAAAGAATACCAAGAATATAGTATCAAAAATAAAAATATTTATTTTACTTTCATTCGAATTTCATAATCTGTATATCGTTTATTACCAAAACCATGTGTTTCAGGATTAAGAACTTCAATTTCAAGAAAATTAGCTGGAGGATCATAACGATCTTCAAGTGAAATCTAAATAGATAAGAATTGAAATTTTTATTGTTTTGTTTTTTCTTTCAAATTTTTTTTATTACAGGTCTAGATGGTAATCGAGCAATTTCTCGTCGATTATCAGTATCGATTGTAGCCATTGATTAAATCAATCAATTTTTATAAAAAAAAACAATGAGTAATACGATATTAAAATAGTACAAAATATCATAGGTCTACAATGTTCTCCATTCATTTCGCTTTTTTCTTATATATATATACTTTAGCTATACTTAAAGTGACATCTGATGTTAAAATATTTCATTAGCTTCAATCTTTAACTATACTACGTAGAAGTCTATACCAGGCCTCGCAGCGTGTGTACTTTCCTGATTTTTTTAAGGTGCCCTGATTTTCCTGCTTTTGACTGAAAATCCTGATTTTGTCCTGATTTCTCAAGATTTATCTCTGTAGAACCATATATACGTCATTTTGATGTTTTATTTTGCTATACTCAACGTTTCTTAAAAATTTTATGAAAATATTTGTTGAATATTTTCTATAAAAAGAAAGATGGTACTCAAATTTTTATTTTGTCCATTTTTTTTCTTGTACTCACTTTAAGAATCGATTATTTCGAATTAATTGGTTTTTAAAGCAGCTACTTTATCATTAGTAATTATTACCAGCACTTCAGCGATAATTATAGCATACAGTTCACGTCCGTGCATAGGTGCATTAAATCTTCTATTCCCTTATTTTAACATTTTAGTCGATTTACTAAAGTTTTCTTGTAAACGCTTTTATTCGTTTATCTATAACATGGTTGTTTTATATGTGCGAAGAGCAGGGATATGAAGAAGAGGAAAAGTAGCAGAGAGGGAAAGGAAGTGTGATGCAGGGAAATGGTTTGAGTGCCGAAAAGATGGTTATAGAACCTTAAAAACTGCGAAAATGCGGATTTTTCTTATTTCTTTTCACGGCTATTTTCCTGATAAAAATGCGATTTTGACTAGAAACAAATAAGACTCCAATAGTAAAGGATCCTCCTACAGTAGGCCACGTATCTGAGAAAAAGAAAACGTATACACAATGCATAATTAGAGATAGCGAACGAAAAGGAGAAAAAGCAGAACTCGAAGCACGTATTCGGCGAAATATATAGTAATTTCAATGAACTATCACTGATTGACATACTTTTGTGCAGCTTTCATCCTGAACAATAGTACTATGATAAGACTTAAAATGTCCTGATTTTAACCGAAATTCCTGATTTTTTTCTAAAATGTGTCCTGCCTATTTTCCTGATTTTTCAGACATAGGCCGCTGCGACCCCTGGTCTATACAATAAAACTGTTTTTTTTCTACGTCGTAGGGTATTATCCCGATAGTTTTGCTGGAAAATATATTGAAAATCCTACATTATACTTACAAGAACAGTTTACCATTTGTTTTTATCCCTTTTGCAAGGATAAAACTTAATGAAAGTAGTTAATTATGAAAATCTCAAATTATTTTGTTGTTTCTATTCTAAGATACAGTTATAATAAAAGCTTGTTTTCATAATTAATGAATCTCGTTAAAATTTGACTCTGTGCGATGTTTCAAGTCAAAATTTTAAAATGAGTTTTTCTTGTATTCATGACAAGGATATTTACTTAAAAAAATGCCATATCTCGGTTTGCAATAATCCAAGTACCTCGAACAGTTGCTAGGATATCCATAACTCATTTGAATCTACAAAGGGAATGATCAGTTGAGAAACTATCTTTGCTAGAAAATGATTTGAAACAATGACATGTGCTGGTATTGATCGTTAGAGATTAAACATGTATTAATGATTTTTTTTCAAATGCTACTACTAAGAGACTCAATGTTAACAAATGTCTATATAATTTGCTGTTGTTATTCAAGAAATATAATATCTTAAAATTTGATTCGCTATCAATAATCAAAGAAAAAATATATATATCAGCTTATCTATAACAATTTTCGAATTGAATTTCATAGATTAATTCTAATATGTATCATTAAATAGATGAATGAATGAATGTAAATTTTTTTATTTTTATGATTTATTCATTATTGTATATAGTTTATAAAATAATTGATTGATTATTATTGATCACAAACAAAAAAACTTTTCTTTAAATATTAAAGAAAATATATTTAATATGAAAAAAGATTAACTAATTTTAGTTATCAGTCGATTATTCGAAATGAATGGAATCAATAAGTAGAACAAATATATTTTTCTTAAACGAAAATTTTCAATAGTTAAATCTTTACAAATACAATTTCTGCTCTATACTAAAAATTAAATAGAACATTACAAATTTTTGGCTACAATTCTTCGAAGAACTATGAATACATGAAAAAACTCTATCGTCGTATTATTATTTGCATTTTTGAGTTTATCCATCAAAGAAAGTATTATATTCTTATGTGTTTTCTTTTTTAATCCAAGTGATGATTATCGTAGTTACTATGGCGGTGGACAATGACAACACAATAATGGTACTAGAGGTGTACCTAACAGAGATGTCCATCGCGGCGCGACTGCTGCCGCTGTGGCGGTGGTGGCGCGGTAGCGGTTGTTTTTTTCAAATAACGATCACGGTGCGGCGCGGCAGCGGTCGTTTTTTTAACTAACTATTGCGGCAACGGCGCGGTAGCGGTAGGTTTTTTTGGAGAACAATGCAAAAATGCATGAATTCGAACAGAATTTCAATGTTTGCAAGTGCAAAACTATGAGACTCAACGAATCTTATCGATTGGTAACAACAGCTCAAGTCCTGGACAGTCACAGACAGGGGCGGCGCGAAGAGGTCAAAGCAGGGGGGGGGGTACCTTCGAAAAATCGGAGAAAATCTGAGGAAGAAATGTTCTGGGGGGGGGGGTACTTTCGAAAAATGGGAGAAAATGTGAAAAAAACTCAAATTTTGAGGTATTGTTGAGCAAAAAAAACGAAAATTTTCAAAAGCAGGAGGGGGGTACCCCCCCCGCTCGCGCCGCCCCTGGTCACAGATCGTAAAATTCACAACATTATTCTAACAATCATCGCGGCAGCGGCGCGTTAGCCCTTTTCTTTTATCGTCGCGGCGCGGCAGCGGTCAGTTTTCAACCGCGATGGACATCTCTGGTACCTAATCGCCACTGTTGGAGTAAACGATAATGACTTAATTGTTTACCATCATCATCATCATCATCATCATCATCCATGTAAATTCTTGTTTTAGGTAATCGTAATGTTAGTGTTG